TTTTGTGCCCACCTGGGTGGCCCCTGGATAACCCGTCCCTGGTGGTCTGTCAGAGAGCCCAACATCTGGCAGCCCTGCTGACCTCTTTGCCTGCACTCCCCAGTCCCTGCCTGGGGTCCCTTCCCTGGCCTGTTTATTATTTAACCCTGGAATGGCATTTGGACACACACACTTTGCAGGAAAGCAGCTCTTCAGATAGTGCTAGGCAACCAAAAGGGTGACCTGTCCAGGCCCAGGCTCTCCTGAGTACAGCCACACCTCACCAGGAAAGATCAGACCCCTTGAGACCTGTGAACATCCACAGCCCTCCCACCAGCCAAGCAAGGAGTTCCTGTCTCCCCACTTAACCTGGGATAGGACTTACATAGCAGGTGGTGGAATCAGACCCCTGGCCAGAGCAGGGAGCTTGCCAGTCAGGCAGCCTCCCCTGCTAGTTGTTCCCTCAGCATTTATGGAGCACCCGCTGTGAGCTGGGTGCTGCCACTGTGATCCCCTGGACTCTTGCCCATAGAGTCTGATGAACAAGCAAGGATTTGGCAGCCATGCAGACCTAAGTTTGAATTTTGATGTTATTTCATTCATTCGCTTGCTCTCGTTCACTTCCCATATTGAGCACCTGCTCTGTGGTCGGCTGAAGTGAGCCAGATCTCTCTGGAAACCTATAGTCAGGTAGGGATCAGATTGTCTTGCTGTGTGTTCTTTTTTTTTTTTTTAAGATTTTTTTTATTGGGGAATTAGGGGGATGGGAACAGCGCTAGGGAATTGGGGGAAGGGGAACAGACAAGTTGCTGTCCTTTTGTTCTTCAGTCTAGTTGTGGAGGATGTTGCTTCACTGGCCCAAGTTGGCACCATCATTGCGCTCTTCCCGGGCGAGGCATATCAGTCGCCGGCTTCTGGACAGCAGCTCACGGCGGCTGCTGGCTGCTCACGCTGGCTGCTGGCTACACATGGTAGCCCATGTCAACCCACTGCAGCAGGTATTGCAGCCTACTCTGTTGCCTGTGACTCAAGGCAGCCCAGCTCCAAGTTGAGCTGTTGTTCAGCATCTTAGCTGTAGAGGGCAGTGTCACTGGCCCTCATATGTGGGATCCGAACTGGGGTCCCCTGGTGTCCCAAGCCAGCTCTTAACCATGGCGCCACTTGGCCGCCCGACTTGCTGTGTGTTCTTAACAAAGTCCTTTTGATGGCTGAGTTTCTCCTTTCAGAGATGGGCAGGTCCCTGCTTGGGGGACTGTCCTGAGGACCCTCCATGATAACACTTGTAGAAGGACCCTGGCCAGGTAGGGAATTTACTTCCACCTTTGGCAGATGTGAATTTGTACCCCTCTGCTAAACTGCCCTCAGGAATAACACAGAGACCCCTGGAACAGATGAAGGGCTCTACTCTCCTTTAGGATAAGCCATACGGACACTGTCTCATTCCTCCAAACTACTAGGTCATGTGTCTAGAATCCAGAATCCATGAAGAGCACTCATTGAACGACCTCTGATGAGTCAAGTGACCTGTGGCTTGCCGTGTTATTCTCCATCCCCACCCATCCCCATTGTTCTCCAAAGGGGCTATTGGTTCAAAGAAGAGAAAGCCCTGAGCTGGGTCAGGTTCACAGGAGGAAAGCTTGTGTCAGCCTCATTCATTGATTCACTCATTGATTCATTCAACAAATACTTATTGAATGTATGCCAGGCACCATTCCAGGTACAGAGGACACACCAATGAGCAAACACATAAAAATAAATACAAAATACACAAGTAAATTATATGGTACATTAGAAGGTGGGGAAGAACATTCTAGGCAGATAGACCAGCAAGTGCAAAGGCCGAGGTAAGAGTGTGCCTGGTCAATTCAAAGAACAGTAGTGAGTAAGGGGGAAGCATGCGATCAGAGGAGTGGTGGGGCCTGATTGTGTGGGATCTCCTCAGCTACTAGGGGGACTGTTTTCTTCTGATCACTGTGAAACCAGGGAGGGAAGGGGAGGGGAACTTGTCCCTGTACCCCAGGGGAAGAGGGCACATGCTACCATCCTAATTATCCTTCCAGTCTTGACCTTGCAGGTGGCTGGCTGCATGGAGGAGGTGGTTGATCAGGATGTGACAGACAGCAGAAGCTGAGGGTCAGGTGGCACTGTGACAAGGGTTGTGGGTTGGTCTGTAGCTGGGTTGGTGGTCCCAGCAGGGATTTGGGCTTTTTTTTTTGTCTAATAATACACACAGTGGGCCTCTTCTGGCTCACCCAACAGCTTCAGGACAGAGGGACCCTGGTTCCCAGGCCAGATCTTGAAGGTAGAGACCAAGCAACCTGCATTTTAAAGATGGAGAACCCAGAGCCCAGAGAAGAGCTGGGCTGCCTAGGGCCTGAGGGCTGGAAATGGGTGCCTGCAGTGGCCTCTTTGTTTTTGTAGCATCCTCACCAGGTGAGTCAGGGATCAGCCCAGAGGGCACTTTTGGGGCCTATTTCTGGGAGAGAGGCCAGGAATCTGGATGCTCCAGGCCTGATAGTAAGATGTTGATTCCTAGGCAAAGGGAACAGCATGTGCAAAGGCTCTGGGCACTTGGATTATTTCTGAGCTAGAGCCCAGGAATCTGTTATTTTAGTTTCCCAGGTGACACGCACCAATGGTAGGTTTGGGATGGACCATTCAGACCACTGGGGTAGCCACCAGGCCCTGCACAGCCTTCATCCAAGGACCTGGAGGCACAGCAATCCTTTCATGAAACCCCTTCTCACTGGCCTTACCCCAGCCCAGGATGTGCTGAGGGGAGGGTGCTGCCTGCCACATCCCTCTTTAAAGAGTCACCAGGCCTCAGTGAGAGCCAGGGAGCACGTAGAAGGCTTCTCCCCACACCCCACCTGGCCAGACATAGTAGGGGCAGGGGTGGTGGGGGATGGGGGTTGGGGGTGGGTTCGGAGATGGGGGGAGGGGGTCAGGCGATCACTGAACCGCAAAAAAACGTTAAGTATGATAGAGGTCGTGGGGTGCGCTCTTCCCTCTTACCAAAACAGAGGGGTCTGAGTCGGGTAGCATAGGTGGGGGTTGAGGAGTGAAACAGACTAACGAGCAGGAGAAAGTGGAGAGATCCAGGTCTGACACGTCTGTGTGGTCCCCTGGCTCAATAATCGAGTGGACCGATGATAGGTCAGACACGTGTCTGGAGAGAGAGGTGCGTGGGTAGATGGAGATGATGGATGAATGAATGAATGGCTGCGTGGGCGGAGAACAGCCTAGCGAGGGGCGGCCCAGCAGAGCGCTCAATCACAGCCCTGTGGCAGGCGCCCCCCTACTGCGGCCCCGCCCGGGGAGCGTAATTCCGTGCCCCCAGGGCTCGGGAGCTGCTGCCCGTTGCAGCTCCTGTACCGGGGCAAGGAGGGGCCGCGCCAGCGCCGCGGGGCTCCATACGCCACCCTTTAGTGCGCCGGCTGAGCCACCCCTCGGCCGCGGGGGGGAACCTCGAGGTGCAGTTCCGCCTCGAGGCCTCCGGCCCCGTTCTTTGTCTCGGCCTAGTCCTCCGCTGTTTCCCCACCACGACCTGCCCCTTCAGGCAGTCCTCGCCTCCAGCTTCCGGGCTGCTCCCGGATCTCCGAGTGTCAGTTCCCGCTGCCCCCAGCCCTTAGGCGGCTCCCCGGGCCCAGAAGCGTTCTCCAAACCCAGTGCCTCTAAGACCGCGGCGCCGGCAATTGCAGGGATCTCCAAGCTGTGTCTCCGGTGCGGAGAGAGGGGACACGGGATGAAGGCCCCCCCCCTCGTCTCCGCCTTCTGTCCCCCCGCCCCTTCTCTGCCACTACTCGCCGCGCTGCGCCCGATCCCAGTGCAGCCTGTTCCCGCCTTAAGCGGCTCTTCTACAGCTATGTGATCCCCGACGCTACGCGGGCCACCCCTTCACCCCGCCCGCCCGGCCTCAGACCCACACGCAGAACACAGTCCCACGCAGTCCCACACAAGAGCGCCCGGAGACACTCCACAGCCTCTCGCCGACCCACAGCCCTGCACAGGCGCACTGCCCCCTCCACGCGCAGACCCACAGTCCCAACAACCGCAATCTCGCTCGCAAACAAGCCCACACAGATACACAACATGCCTCAGACACACTCAGACACAATCTCCCCACACAACCTCACACACAGACTCGCACAGGCGCAGTCCCACCCACGCAATCCCACAACCCCCCTATAAACAGTCGCACACAAACACGACCCCACACAGGCACCGCATCACTCAGTCCCTCGGAGACCCAGACACACATTCACAGCTCGCAGCCATTCACAGCTCGCAGCCAGACCCGCACACCCCGTGACATTCACACGTAGGGCAGACCAGAAATATACAGCCACACTGATACACACACGGACCTAAACGCGCCACCAAGAGCTCACGCATCGGCTCGTAAGTCACTGGAAAAATATTAAAGCGTTCCCTCCCTCCCTTTCTATCTCCGACACGCGCGCGCGCACATACACACAAATGGAGACACTCAACGCCCCCCCACACACACACACAACCCCTCGTCTCTAAGCTGTTCGGAACCTCCTAGCCCGTGACCCCGAGGCCCCGCGGTAAGAGCCGCGGGAGCGTCTCCCTGCAGCCCCCTCCTCCCGCTGGCGTCCGTCCGGAGCTCACCACTCCTTCCCTCGTCTCCTCCCTCTCTACCCCCTCCTCCGCCTCCCCTCTCCTCCTCTCCCCTCCCCTCCCCCGCGTCTGGGGCGCGGGCTGCGCGCAGTCAAGCCCCCTCGTCGCGCGCCCCTCCCCGCGCGCGCCCAGCGCCCGCATCGCGCTTGCAGAGTGGATGCGGCCACAGGGCGGTCTCTAATTACCTCCTGTCCCCCGGCGGCCGGTGAATAATGGCTACTGAGGGCGCTCACAGGGGTTGCTGAGAAGGAAACGCGGGGCGCGAGAGGCGCGGCGCGCGCGGGAGCGCGAAGGAGAAAGGAGCGAGCCGGGGGCTGCAGCGAGCGGCGGGCGGAGAGAAAGGAATCGTGCGAGCGCTCACATTTTTTTCTCCCAAGGATCTCATCTGGCCGCCGCGTTCTGGAAGAGGCGCGCGCGCTCGAGGAGGAGAGAGACCGCGCTGGGAAAGGGAAACGGCAAAACGCGCAGCGCCGGCGCTTGGGAGACACAAGAGGAGCCCGCAGGTATTGTTGGTGGCAGAGCTTTGTGTCTTTGGGGGGCTGTTCGGAGCGCGAGGGCTCCTGGAGACCCCAGCCCGCCGCCGCGCTCAGACCTGCTCCAAACCCGGGGCTGCCGGCGGGGGTCTCCGCCTACCTCCGGCACCCCCTCCCGCACGCGGCGATCTTGGCTGGAGTTGCAGATTTGCCTGCTTTGGGGGTTTTCCACGCTGGTTGAGGGAATCGGTCTCAGAAGGAATTTGTTTAAAAAAAATTTTTTTTGGCCTTAGTTTGGTTGTGCTGGGGATCTCCCCCTCCCCTTTCCTCCACGGTCTTGGCGACAGTGGTACTGGCGGAAGGCAGAGGGCTGAGATGGCGGACCTGGCAGCCGCGAAAGGGGAGGTGAGGGACGCCGGAGGAAGGAGTTTTGCTCAAGTTCGCAATCTGCGCCCTGGGGCGGTCAGGCGGAGGAGGGCCGTTTGCCTCCCTTGTCCTGCTCCGGGTAATCGTTGGGAAACTTCCCGAGAGCACAGCCTCCCGGGGGACTCGGCGCCCCCTACGCCTCCGGCCGCGGCGGCCCCTCCTTGCCGCCTGCGAGCGCTTAAGGTCGCGCTCTCCCCTCCCCCGCCTTCCTCCCTCCCCCGGCGGCTTCCGGATCTGGACAGAGCTAGAGGAGCAGCTTCAAACACTTCCCCTGGAGACCCCTCCCCACTCCCCGCTTCAGAGCCTGCGGGATAGCCCCGCTGCCTTGCACCCCCGCCTCACGCGCGCAAGAGTGGCCAGGCTGACAATAAAATCTCGCGCTTCTGCTGTTGGGGTGGGGGTGGTCGTACAGCGCTTTCTCTCGTAGGGCTACTGACCCGGCGCAGGGGGAGGGGGAGGGGATCTCTTAAGGGGAGGGGCTTGTTTGGGTTAGAGACGTTGACGTCGGATGGCGCCTGAGGGGAGGGGCGGGGGCGAGGTAGGATGCACGAAGGAGGCCTGAGGCTTGGGTTCTCGGCCGCGGCTGGTGGATTTTAGCCCCTCTTGGACTTGGTGATTGGCTGGTGACTTCAGGCCGTCTGAGAGCCCCCCCGTCTCGGCCTCCTCCGTTCAAGTACAATGCGGGCTTCAGAGGTGATCCCGAGGGCGGCGGCGGCGGCGGCGGCGGCGGTGGTGGTGGTGTGTGTGACGAAGTGTTTGCCTCCTGCGATCCACAGCAGACGCTGCTTTGGAGATCCGGAAGCCGCGCTCCCTCCCTCAAGGGCTGGGGGGAAGGGGAGAAGAGAGAGAAGGGGAGCGGTGGGAACTTCTTTAACCACCGGGGCTATGGAAAGGGAATGCTAGGCCAGAGAATTTCTGGGGATCACAGTCCTGACGGGGGCTCAACTCAAAGTAGGGGCCACGAGATCAGAGGCTTCTACGCACTCAGAGCTCCCAGATCCTTTTGCTCCTTTGGGGGTAGTGTGGAAGGGGTTAATTGGATTGCCAGGTAAGCATCCCAAGGGCTAAAAAGGGGAGTCCTTCCTTTTCCTGGGGTAGGAAGAGAAAAAGCCAGGCCCAGGGACCCCAAGCTGAACACCCAAGCAGGTGAAGGAAATTCTTCTCCCTATTTAAAGAGAGGATTCCTGGGGAGTGGGGAGGTACCTGGTTTGGGGGGGGGCAGTGGCAGACAGTTTTCAGGCCATTCTGTGACTTGGTCCAGGAATAGAAAGAGTTAACCCTCCCCAGAAATCTGTCAGCCCCCACACTTCAGGAACTGGGAGTCGGACCCTTTGACATGCTAACAGCCTGTGGTTCTAGCAAATTCCTTGTGCTGTGCTCCCTTAGCAGCAGCCGCCGCAGCCGGACCAGACTTGGCTGGGTGGTGCCTTGTTCAGGGACCTTAGGGAGGCTGAAATCAGAGCCCAGAGAGGGTGTTGCTGCCAGGTAGCGGCCTTGTGGCCTCGAGGGGAAAGGGGTTACTTGCCAGAGCCACTGGAACTGGAAGTGGAATTGTGGTAGGGGTGGGGTCCTTCAGCACTTGCCCCATTCCCCACCTCCACCCTCACCACCTACAGCTGGAGGCTTGGTGGTTATAAGGGTGAGTTTCTGACCCATAGGCTAAACTGTGAGACCCTAGGAGCTGAGGGCAGGCGTGGATAAGGCCACCGGAAGGCAGGACCTGCCAACAGGCTTGATTTCCCCTCACTGGGGCGGGGCCTGTTGTGGCACAAACCCCTGTGGTGTGGAGTTCTTTGAGGGGCTGTCTGCTGTCTTTCCCACCCACCCCACATTTCCGTTTCTTGCAGGTGAGAACCATTTCCTGCAGATCTTAAAGCTCCTGGCACAGGATGGGCACTCAGCTTTGGCTGGACAGACAGCAGTGAATGAATCAGTGATGAATGAATGAATAAATGAATGGAAGGGGAAAGTTTCTCAATTGGAGGCATTTAGTCATTTAAAAAAAACCACCTTTTTGATATATATGTTTTTGAAATATGCTTCATAGAAAATCTAAAAAATAAAAAGGTTACTGACGGTCTTAGTGGACTATGACAACATTAATATTTTGATGTGGTCCTTTGCAGTTTTGTTGACTTGGTGGTTTGTTTTTTAAAAGCTTTGTCGTCATTCTCTGTATTCGGTGTATATCCTGCTTTCTCTGTTGGCGTATATATCCTGCTTTCTCTGTTAGCGCTAGCAGTAGCCTTTTCCTGTTTTGTAACCAGCTCTTCATAAACACCATGGGTTAATGTCTCTAGGGTTTTCCAATCTGGTGGATGTACCATCAATTACTTAATATTCCCCTTTTGTTTAACATTCTGGATGCTCCTGATGAATGGGGTAGTGGATATATTTTGTGTAGAAAGCTTTTTTTGATGTTTAAGATGATTTCCTGAAAATGATTCTGCTGATGCCAAAGGCTCTGACATGCCTGCAGTGAAAGAAATGGGCTTCTCATTTTTTTTGGAGAAGTGGTACACTGTTCTTCCTTCCAGCACAATCTAGAACCTTCTATCAGAACCAAAAAGAACATTAGTGATGAATCACCTGCCTGACCTCTCCCCTTTGACAGAGGAGAAAAGGGGAGTCCAAAGATGAAGTGAGTCCCAAGGTTACATAGCAGTTGCTGGGCCTTGCAGCAGTCAAGAAAGGGCTACTGATGTGCCATTTTGGTTCCTGCACCCAGGAGAAGTCTCTAGGGGTCCTTTAGACTGACCTTGTCCATTTGACAGGTGGAGGCACTGAGAGCCCAAGAGAGAAGCACCCAGCATGCCCCTGGTCTCACCAGCTGTATTGCCAGACAGGCCCCTAAAGTCTGTGTCACACACATTGGCCGTGTCCATGGGATCTGGGATTACCCAAGAGGACCCAAAGGACTCAAAACAGGGGCAGTGAGAGAGGTGGTACTATAGATGTCAGAGGACCCCAGTGGTGTGCCCCTACCCCCATGCCTCAGTTTACTTGTCCAAAAAGCTAGCGATGGCTCTATTCAGAAGCTGAGGAGTGGGGAAGGACTCTCTTAAATTCTCCCTCTGATCTTAGGTTGACCCCAGGAGTAAGGGGAAAGAGAAGAGAGAAAGAGGAGGAGAGAAAAGAATGGAAAGGGAGACAGTGGGAGAGAAAGGAAAGGATTAGGAAAGAGGGAGGGAAGGTCAGGAAGGAAGAAAAGGAGGGAAGGAAAGGACCTATTTAAAATGAAGAAAGAAGAGAGAAAGCCCCCCACCCCCACCCCCCAGCCTCTTTGGGCACCCAGAAGAGAAGTAGGGGGACATCACCCTAGTGTGGGTGTTGGTGATGGCCAGTGCTGGATGATGGCCCAGAAAGGCTGGAAATCCGGGGTCGGCTCTGTCAGGGCTGAGTGGGACAGCTCTTTGGAGAGCTCTAAGGGTCAGAAGGATCCAGACCAGGTAGATGGCAAGGAGGCAAGATCTTGGTGGCTTCTCTGTTTGCGGGTTCTCCCCCCGCCACCCTCCGCCCCCAAGGGGCAGGTGGCAGGGCACCTCCATGTTGCTGGGCCTTGTAGCAGCCAAGAAAGGGGGCTGGGGCCAGGGTGTTTGTAGGGGGCAAGGTGACTGTGGCTCTGACTTCCCATCTCAGCACAGGGACCTTTTGTGTGTCCCCTACCACCCCCACCCCCTCCAACACACCCACTGGCCTTAGAGGTTTAGAGCAGCCTTCCCATGAGTGTAGGCATTTGGACATTTCTGTGGTGTGTCTTTGTGCACGTGTGTGTTCCCATGGGCGCATGCACATCTGTGTGTGCATGGTCTGTGTGTCTGGTCCTGTTTGTATATTTTGAGGGGGTTGGTGTGCCTGTCAGCCTGGGTCTGTATATGTGCCCGTGTTTGTGTGCCTTGGATCCTGTTTGTATGTTTCTTTCTTTTTTTTTTTTTTTTTTTCTTTAGCTGAGTCATCCTGCCCACCTGTTGGCAGCTCATTGGCAGCTCAGCTCGGGCCGGGACTCGAACCGCTGTTGCTCAGAGCTCAAACTCTTGAGCGAGCTCTTAACCAACTGAGCCACTTGGCCGGCCCCTTCTTAAGGAGTATGTGCCTTCTGGCTTTGGTACTTGTGTGTGCATGCATGCCTGTCTGTGTCTCTGTGAGTCTCTGACTCCACTTGTGCATTTCGGGGGTGGGGGGAGTGTGCCCCCTAGCTTGGGCACATGGCTGTATGACTGTGTATGTGAGCAGACACTTTCCTCCTAATGGCCCCAAGAGAAATCCAGGCAGCAGGCTTTTGTGCTGTTTTCAAGGTTGCAGCTGGGTGGGTGAAAGGGGGGGCGGG